CTCTCTCTCTCTCTCTCTCAGATACTATACTATTTGAATGGACTTTTCACCGTCTTAAAAATTTCACGGTTACAAACTGTCCTAAAATTAAAAGGTAATACTTCATTGTGTACGAACGTCTCAGGAGACATAAGGTTATACTAAATGAGTACAAGAAAAGACAATTTGGTGAATTTATACGTGCATTGGAAATCAGTGGAAGAGACCAAACTACTACCTAAGTAGCGTGGATTTTTGCATGTGGCATAATTGCGTTCAGACGAGATGACATCCCAGAAAACCTAGTTATTAGGTGCGCGCAGTACATGGGTAGAGCTATCGGAATTTGCGAGCATGGAGGGCGCAGTTGGCGGTCATGACTTCTTGAAGGAATATATTGGCGTTCGTTCGCCGATATCTGAGGATATATAAATCTTTCAGGCAGCGAATGCATTGCGACAGAACGAGTCATGTCATATGTCGGCATAGCAGGGTCAGTTTGACGGAGGCCCCGTATACTCGCGGCTTAGTCTTCATGTCACACTAATTCCTGGATTTAACGAAGTCTATCGAAGAGTACGTGAGCCTGGTTGATCTGGGAATTTTGTCACTGTTTTGCTTTCATGGCAAAAAATCAAATAAAGGCTGCAGAGGCTGTCCGCCAACTGCAAAAGTTTCATCGTTAACCTGAATGCGCGGATAGTTCGGACCGCGACACCCGAGGCGACCAAACTCACCTTAGGAGTTTATTCCCGGGTCTATTCCCGCAGTACCTGCACAGATATGAAACAGCACATAGCGTATTTCCGTAAAAAAAGATCGCCAACACTGCAAAGTCAGAGTACTCAAGATTTCTAATGAACTAACTACAAACGACTGTAACACCAGGAAGATTTCCAAGAGCGTGTTAGCTGAAAGCCAGTCTACTACGTACTTAAACAGAACTGGTAAGAGAACGCGGCCCAGAGGTACGCCAAAGGGAACACTCGAGAAGTTCGTCTCCCTGTCATTCACACTGAACATGGCTTTTGTTACACGGCAGAGGGCCTTAATCAATCGAAATAGCTTCGGTGGCACCACCAACCTGAGAGAATTTCGATAGACCGATATAAACTCCAACAAAAATACGACAGTGGGCTGTTGGTAACGATGAGGTTCTCGGGGATTCGGTGAGGCGAGAAGTGCTGACCAATGCAACCCCGACATGATCGAAAACTGCGTTTTTCATTTCTTCCCACCTCGTCGTGGCCCAAGAGGAACCGATAGCGGCGGAGGACAACTGCGATAACTTCAGCGGCAGTGTTGAGGGAATTATGCAACAGCAGTTCTTGTACGGCAATCTGCCACACTCTCCTAGAGATCGGCGCACCAATGGGGATCCCAAGCGTGTAAGCACGGTCATTCAGAAATATGAGCCAGAAGGCCGTGTAAGAATAAGTTATTGCTGTCGATAAAATACTTGTGGATTTTCGATGGAGGACCGCCACCGTCACCCGCTTCGTCGATCTTCGCTGTCGCTATCGGAAGAGCGATTTCCATGAAAGGCAATGGGCGACAATGGCAGGCAGATTCGTGCGCCGGATCAACTTTAACCTGAAAGGCGACTAAGAGAGGCATATATGTCGGGTCAAGAAGTTTGTGAGATGCTTGTTCCGCAAAGGTGTCAAATCTATCAGTAACTCCATCACTGCACCTTGACTGCCGCTGATCCATCTTCAAAACCCGGCACAGTCTCTAGGTAATAACGCAGGCCAAATCGTGCTTCAGACCATAACAAGCTTTACTGCGGAGTTCATTTCGGTCACGTCCAACAGAACACGTGATCTCACAATGCAGGCTGCTGGAGCTGGAATTTTAACAAAGGCGGGCACCCTTTACATGAACAACCCTTCGGATCGTCAATAGAGGCGAAGAGAGGAGTCCCAGAAAGCAGTCTTGAAGAAGGAGACACGATCGCTGGGACAAGAGCTTTATTAGCCTGACGTTTCGGATTCCTGCTCGCACCTATAATCAGGGACAACAGCTGACGAAAGGACGTCCTTTCGTCCTACCGGCCTTGCGTACCGGTGCATACGCAAAATGGACGAAAGGCCTAACCGCACGGACACCAAATCTTGGCGGGTGCTTCCGAATGTCAAAAAGGTTTCGGAAGATGTCGGCCGCCTTCTCGCACCCCTTGGGATTGGAGTTGCACACAGACCGGAGGCAACCATTCGGCGTCAGTCAATGTAACCGAAAGACCCACTGCCACGGCCAGAAACGTCTGGAGTCGTTTATCGGATCTGGTGCAGTTGCGGACAAAGCAACTACGTCGGAGAAACCGGAAGACAGCTCCGAACGAGAATGGCCGAACACGCTGCAGCAGTGCGGAGAAATGACGCCAGCTCCCAATTTGCGGCTCATTCGACGAGATCCGTCCACACATTCAAATTCGACGAGGCCGAAATTCTCGCAAGAGGTGACAACCGCGTGAGCCGGGAGCTACTTTAATCATGGTTCACTGGCCCTCAGTCCATTAACAAGTGCAATGAACTTTCCCTTCCATACTCTGTGCTGAGACTTCGCCTAGGCGGAGTAATTAGCCATGCGGGCAGCGCACAGGTGAACACTTTTCCCAACACCAGGGTCGCTGCGTCAGATGGTCGAGCAATCATCACACCAACATCCAACGCACGTGATGAAATTGCAGCCATGAATGACGCAAACGTCGGCCATCAAGCAATTAGCACATCAAGTGCGACGAATCCGGATGAAGGAGGGGGGAGCCGTGAATGTTCATAGGTATGCGGTAGCATGGTGACTGCATCCTATAAATACTGCAGCCCCTTATGCATGAATCATCCCTATCTGTTGTTGTCTCTGATGATGGGTTCGAGCAGGAATCCGAAACGTCAGGCTAATAAAGCTCTTGTCCCAGCAATCGTGTCTCCTTCTTCAACCATCCGGATCATTTCCCTGGAGATCCTACTTTGTGTCAACACCTGCTATGTATTGGCAACTCCCAAACGAGTCCAAAAAGCGCCTCCAACGATAGCAGAAACCTCAAGGTTATGGGGGTAGGTGGTCAAAAGGCTTCACAACAGAGACTTGAGACATTGCGGTGAAAGAGGCAACTTCAGTGTATCAGCTCATGTATTCAGCAATTTGAGGGGTCGCAACTAGGCTTCAAGATATGCCTCCACTCCTGGCATTTAAGGGGAATTAATGCAACCCCCAATGA